GATATAAAGACTCAAGTAGCCCAAGCTCACTTGTAATTCCCTATGCAGCTAAGGATGATCTTAGACTCCTGATCCTCCTGTCCCCACATCCTAAATACTGAGATTATGATCATGCACCACCACCCCTGCAAGTCTATTATTATTATTATTTAAAATTTTATGTGTATGAGTGAATTGCCTGCAGGTATGTAAATGCACTGTGTTGTGCAGTGTCCATGGACATCAGAAGAGGACATTGGATTCCCTGGAACTGGAGTTACGAATGGTTGTTAGCTGCTATGTGGATGCTGAGAATCAAACCTGGGTCCTCTTGAAGAACAGCCAGTGCTCTTAACTGCTGAGCCACCTCTCCAACCCCTCTTTTTTTAATTTTACTTTTTCTATTGCATTGGGATACTTATTTCTATCTTCCATCCTCTAGCTTATATTTCTGTGTCAAATAGATTATTAATCCCATCCATTGATTTTAAAAATGTTATATACATATAATTTCAGTTCTTCAAATTCTACTCGTTGGTCTGGGGAGAGAGTTCAGTTGGTGAAGTGGTTGCAATGCAAGCATGAAGACTTGAGTTCAAACCCCAGGACTTACAAAAAAAGAGATGTTCAATTGCAATCCCAGTGTTAATGAGGCAGAGACAGACAGATGCCCAGGGCTCCTTTTTCAGGCAGTTTAGACAAACAGGCAAGCCCAGGCCAATGAAAGATCCTGTCTCAGAAAACAAGGTGGATGGCTCCTGAGGAATGACACCTGAGGTCTCCACATGCATGTGCACTGTGCACATATATAACAATGCACACACATTCACAAATGCAGAAAAAAAGTGTTTTCTCAAATATCCTTATTGATTACAGTTTCTTGCTCTCTGCACACATTTCTAAGCTTGTCTTTTATTCATATTTACTACTGTTATTTTACAGTTTGTGCTTCATAAATCCAGTATCTGAAGTCTTTTGAAAATCTTTTCTTGTAAGGCATAAAATTGAATGAGTTTTTTAACCTTTAAAAAAGATCTCCATTTCAGTTTAGAATATATTGTTCCTTGCAGAAAGACTCATTGTTTTTGCTACCAACACTGAGATGTTGGCACATGCATCTCTAATCTATATGCATCTGATTATTACTACTCATAATCGGTTGCACTTGGATCCTTGGCCCCTGTGTATGTCTATAAAGTCATCGGGTAGATTTCAGTGGTAATGTTTATCACCTCTACTATTAGCATGATGTAAATTTCCATGTATTCTCCTCAAATATAATACATTTTTTTTAAATTTGTTGATTTTTTTGTCTGTTGTATATCACACAGAACATCCCAAACTATCTTATTCGACTATACACCCACTTCCCAGATGGCACCCTCCCATAGCCTCCCTCCCCCTACTAGAGCCCTTATATTCTGATATCCCTGCTACTGTCTGCTGTGTTGT